CAGCACCGAGAGCATGCGGAAGATGATTCGCCGTTGAGCCACGGACCTGCCCAAACAGGAGTAAGGTCTCTAAAAGCAAATTCCTGACCCAAGCATCCCAAGTGCCGCAACCCAGCACGATAGGCGGTACAGGGTAAGGCACTTTGTCCAAGTGGCCGGCCTCGGCCTCGTCCTGCAAAGCAGCCTCGCGAGCTTCCTCCATTACATCCAGCACGGCCCTGTACATGTCCTGGCAGACACGTAGCCAGGAGGAAATATGGAAATGATTCAAGAAAGAGGACAGTAGTGGTCATGCCCTCATTTATCCTTGCCGTCGATGATGGTCTTGATCGCATTGGCAACGGCCAGCTTTTGGGAGAAGCTCAGCCGCTGGAACTTCTGTCGGGAGCCGGAATTGGCAATGAAGAAGTTGGCATGGCGTACCGTCTGGCCGCCATTCGCAGCGATCCACTTGTCCAGGTTGGACAGCAAAGTCGGTGGGTCTGTGCAGCCCAGGGCAGCCAACAGATCAAAGAAGGCAGCAGTGTCCTGAGATGAAACAAACCCAAGCAGAGCCTGATGCAGACCGTGAAGACACACCTTTGAGAAAAAAGCAGCTTCCGACTTCGACACGGCACCTGCTCCCGAGGAAGGTGGGCAGAGACAACGTCGGACAACATCTCCACCAGCTCCAGGTTGACGGGAGCTTCGACAACCTCTTGGGCCGTGTTCAGGACAGGCGGGGCTGGCACCTTGAAAGCTGCCTCCGAGTCCACATACGGCACCACAGCCGCCTTGGATGGAGTCGTTCCATGCGAGCCAGTAGCGAGGGCCTTCGGCCCCTGCTCCGGCTGCACCATTTTCTCTTCCAAGTCACCGCCCATTGTCTTCTTCTTCTCTTCGTCGCCCGGCTTAGACTTGGGAGTCTTGCCAGCCTTGCCATCCGAAACAGCAGCAAGGAACGTGTTGCCGAACAAATCGTTATCATCTCCTTCGAAAAGCCGGCGTCGGCAATCAGCCACAGCACCCGGGCCGGGAGCACTCCCGTCGTCGTCCGAGGACTCTTCGTCGTTGGCTGCACCCTTGCCACGGAGCTGCTGTGTCATCTCAGAGTCATTGGCTTCGCTCTTGTCACACTCTGTGCTCTCGTCATCTGGATTGGCCTTTGTCTTCGATTTTCGATACTTCTCGAAGATGGAGGGCTTCCCAGGCACGTCCTCCTCCTCGTCCTTGGCCTTCTTGGTCTTCTTGTTGCTCTCAGCGGGAAGCTCCAGAGAATCAAGGACACTCTTTTCGAGCTTCTGCAGGTCTGCTTTCGCGTCGGCCTTCAAAGTGGAGAGCATCTCTAGGAGCTGCTGCTTGAAAGCAGCTCCGCCGTTCTTCACGATGTCCTTGATCCTGGGAAGGATGCTTC